CGCATTTACAAACCGACACGCTACAGCACCGCGCAGAGACCGAGAAGTGCGAGAGCGTAAGTACACATGATGCGTGTTCATCTCTGATGTGTACACTCACAGTTTCATAAACAACTGATTACAAGCTCCACCACTGACAAAAATATAAACGTAGGAGCTTCCGTACCTCACCTAGTACAGATGACCTTTCTGACACCAATGAAAACATGCTAAGGCTACTGAACGCGGAGCGTGGTCACTCTCCGTGTCGCCTCCTCATGCTGTCCAAGGGTCGCATACCGCCTAAGGACACGTCAGGAGTCATCTGCCACGTCCGTCGTCCAGACTGTCTGGCTAAGTATTACCGCGTGACCGAATAAACGGCCAAGAACGCGAGGGTGTCCTGGTCATGAAGTAAGAGGCGTGCGGTCCACCGCGATTGTGCGAAGTATCCAAAGTAAGCACTGATCCGTCCTGGACAGTGCAGAAGGCCTCGGGCAGAGGAGAAAACTGAAACCTGATAATCTGACGCCAAAAAGATCACGGATCTGTAAAGCACCGTTTGGATCGAGAAAGGAGGACTGACGGGAATGGGCACTGGTGTGCTACAAAGACTTCCAACCACCAATTTCCCATCCTGCATTTTGCCCTCAAGAAAGGGTTTGAAACGGTATATCAGTAATTTACTCGCCGCAATGATCGACTTGGCCACCCAGGCACCAAAAACATTTACTTGGCGGACTCTCCCATACGTGAAAAATGTATCTGAGCTCGTCGAAAGACGGCTGAAAAAGCATCAGATACAAGTACCACATCAACATGTAACCACCTTGCGTACACAGCTTGTAGATCCCAAGGACAAGATTGGCTATCGCGATGGAAAAGGTGTTGTCTACAAGATCCTATGTACCATTTGTGATGCCGTCTATTGTGACCAGACCGGGAAATCTGTCTCAATCTGTATACATGAGCACCGGTTAAAGATGAAGAGACGAGATCATCTATTTAAAATGGCAATGCATACACTGGACGCCGAACACCAAGTTTAATTGGAGAAAACGCGCATTGTTGGCGTCTGCCCTGTAAGGAGAGGACGTGAATTCCTGAAAGCAATGCACTCAGATGAGGCATGCGTCAATCCGCCCATCGGTCTAGATGCCACGTACAAATGGAAGCAAGCGCAGCCAATGCCGAGGGGATGACGAAATATCGTTGACGCGCATTGGCGCAGACTTCGGCCAACCACGGAATCACTTGATCGATACGGTCTAACTAGTTAACTGTTTATGTACATAACCCAGAAGTGTGACGACGATTTGGGAAACCAGTTTCGAAAATTTACTTATAAGAGTTTACTTTACCCAAAGAACCTTCCATCTTCAAATTATATCTTTTGGGGTGCCTGCCTTCCAGTGCGTATATATATATATATACATATATATATATATGGATGTAGGCGAAAATGCTGACCCCAGGTGTTGAAATTGAAGAAGATGGTAAGGCGAGCTCTGGGGATGATGATTTAATCATCTGA